TTTCACTGGGGGGGAACCTGCCACAGGCACCCATGGGTGGCATCCCCACCCCGTGGACCCTGAGCACCCAGGGGTTCTGGGCACTCCTGACATCGGGCACCAGGGACCGACCAGCACCCATGTTATGGTGGCAGCAGGGACCTTGCGCATCCAGGGCCCCAAAGCACCGGGGAGACACAAAGCCACCAAGCACCCGGTGTCCCTGAGCACCCACGCCCAGGAGCCCCCCCACGGCTGTACCTCGGCGTGGGACGAGGTGTTCGCTCTGCCAGGCAGGTTCTTCCTTGTGGCAGAGCTGGCAATACCGGGTGGCCTCAAAGCGGGACTTCACCTGCTGCAGGGAGACGAAGGGAGGCTGGAGGGCGGCGCTGGGCGTGATCCTCTCCTGCGAGTCCCACGCGAGCATCGTCTTGAGCAGCGGCACCATCCCACACAGTCACAGTGCTCGCCCGGGGCTTCCTGGCCGGAGTTAGACGCCAGGCGGACGCGCCCCAGCACCAGCGGATCCAGCGAGGAGAAGACGTACCTCCTCTTCTCCATCGGCTGCACCATCTCGTTGCCTGGTGGTCTGAGCTGCCGGAACCGGTGGGATGTGGCACCGGTTGGAAGAAGGAGCAGGTCTTCCAGGCAGCGCAGAGCAACTCATCCCGTGGCAGCCCCGGGCTGGAGCAGATGTGGCGGACCTGGTCGTACCCGTTGATGCCAGGGTAGAGTGGCCAACCCAAGTGAAGGTCAGCCATCACGCAACCCAAAGACCAGACGTCGCAGAAGGGCAACCCCGACAAGATCTCCGCTGCCCGGTAGGAGCGGGTTTGGATGTAGGGTTGCTTGACGTGGCAGACCTCGGTGAGCTGAGCCAAAGTCAATGAGTTTGATGCGGAAAGGATAGCGTGCGTGGTCCACCAGCATGATGTTCTCCGGCTTGAGGTCAGCGTGGATGATGGAGAGCTCCTTCAGCTTGACCAGCTCCGCCAGCCGCTGCACTGTGATGGTACGGATGTGCCGAACGGGCAACGGCAAGAAGTTGTTCTTCATTTGGAAGTCCTGGAGGTTTTGCTCCAGCAGCTCAAAGACCAGGTAGGTGCCAGCACTGTCAGCGAAGGACTCGAGGAAACGGACGATGTGCAAGTCCTGTGTCCACCCCCCGCAGGCCTGCAGCAGCCTCAGCTCGTTCTTCGCCACGTGGCCACGGTAGCGTTTGTTCTTCAGGATCCTGATGGCCACCATCTCCCCCGTGCTCCTCCACCAGCCCTGGGCCACCTCCCCGAAGGTCCCCTTCCCCACCCCGGCCACCAGGTCGTAGCGTTCAGCACCCACCACCAGTGTCTCCATGGCGTGCCGGCTGCTCGCCAGGGGCTTGTGAGCCCCGACTCTGCACCCACCAGGGGCTTGTGGCACCCAGACACCTCAACCTGGTGGCCCCCAACATGCTGCTGGCTCTGGCATTGCCATGGCAACACCTTCTGTTGCTGGTGGTGTCCCCAGGAGCAACTGTTGTCCCGCACAAAGGACGGGAACCCGGGTGGAGGAACCCCCTGGTTCCCATCCCTGGTCCCCTGAAACCTATCGCAGCCCCCTAAAACCTATCGTCAACCCCGCCCCGAGTTACCTGTGGTCCCCCAAACCCTTCCCTGCCTCCCCAAACCCAATCTCAGACCCCACAGACGTGCCCAAGGCTTTTTTGAGGTGTTAACATTTATTTGGGCCAAGCTGAGAGCAAGGGGCCAGGGGAGCGATGCTGCCATCCCGCCCACTCCCCGGTTAATAGTAACACCTGGAAAATGGGCAAAAAGCTTCAAACAACCCCCAAAAAAAGCTGGGTTAGAAATTTTTTGGGGAGTAAGTGGATTAAAGAGACCTTGGGGGAGCAAGTGATGCTCCACCACCCCATCACTGTTTCAGGGGGTCCCTGAAGACGCCCCCATGCTCGGGGGGGGTGTTTACCGCTCACCACAGGGTTGGGGGCTCAGTGTCAGCTTAGGCAGCTGAAATGTAGGGGTCCCCTCACCCCCAAACGCCCCCAGACTGAAGTGTGGGGTGAATTCCGTCACCGATGGCCGCTGGTTGAACTCGGGGTCCCCAGGGGAGAGCTCAACGCTGGGTAACCGAATCTTCCCCTCCTTGGGTCGGGTGATGGGGGGCTCTGGTGCGGACCCCCCTGGGGAGAAACCCACCCTGGGCACCCGGCGCCATCGCCGGCTCTTGCCCTCTGCTTCGCCATTGACACGGGGAAGGGCGTCCACCACCTGGCTGTCTTCTTTCCCCTTCGGCTTCACCAACACCAAGAGCGCCTTCTTCACGCCGCCCATCCTCATCCTCCCCTCGCCTTCCAACCCGCTCCCGGCAAAACCTGTGCCGAATTTTGGCAGTTTGACCCTAGACTGGTGTCCTGGTGCTGTGTCCTTCCCGGTGGTCTCCTCCATCCCATCCATCCCCGGTGGCGCCAACTCCAATGCCGGCACCTTCAGCGCCGACACGCCGCTGGGTTTTGGTATCTTCCAGCTGGCGGAATCCGCTGGTTGTTTTCCTGGCGCGGTGAAACCCACAGTGGGGACGGTGAACCAGGGGGTCAATGGTTGCGCCCCCCCATCACCCACTGTCCCCCTGGTTTTCAGCTTTAACAGGGTCGTGCCAGGAGACTCCGGCATCTTCCTTCCTGCCGTGCCAGTGCTCAAGCTCTCGGCACTTGCCCCACGTCTCATCATTTTGGGGTCCCCCCCGATGCGGATATCGGGGCTGGATCCCCCAAATTTTGGCCATTTCACCCCCCCGCCCAGCTCTGGCCCGGCAGGGAGTTTAGGCAACGATGGCACACGTTGGCTGCCCGTCACTGGCAGTGTGATGCCCACCCGCGGTACTCGAAGCCGGGGGGTCCCAGGGGACCCCAGTTCTTCTGACCTCCCGTCGTCCCCCCCCAACCCCTTGATTCCCAACCGCGGCAGCTTCATCACTGGGCCGGCATCCTGGGGACCCTCCTCACCACCAGCACCCTCGGCCTCACTCTTGACTCCGAAAGGCGCCAGGGATAATTTGGGGACCTTCAGCTTGACCCCGGCACCAGCAGCACTGACTGTCCCCAAAGCCAGGTCTAAGGCCGCTGTGGGACCAGTGACAGCACGGCCAGGCGGTGCTGGCACGGCTGTACCGTGGGCCGCTGGGGGATACCCACTGCCACTCCCGCCCGTTTTGATCTTGGCAAGGGACAACCCGAACCGTGGCAGGGTGAATTTGGGGGGTTTGGCGGCGGTTGCTGGCACGTCCCCCATGAGCCGCGCTGGGGGGGTGATTTCCACTGCTGGCAGCGGTGCCGTGGGCTCCAGCTCCAGGCTGAGCTTTCGGAGCCCTTTGGCAAACCTGGCCACCACGTCTGGTGTCACCACAGCATCCCCCTCACGTGGCGCTTCCGCAACGCCGGCTTCCGCTGGCAGCGCCAAACCCAGGCCGACGCGCGGCACAGCGATGTCGATGGACGGCACCGTCATGGCCGGGAAGGTCAACTGAGCCGGCGCTGCCGGTGGTGACTCCGGGCGCCGTGTGGGCAGCTTCACCTCCAACCGCGGTTGCTCGCTGGTGACGGCCGGCTCTGCTTTGGGCACGCTGAGCTCAGGGACCAGCTCGATGGCGGCGCTGGGGACGGTGATGGCAATGGAGGGGACACGGATGCCGGTAAATCCCCCTCGCCCGCCGGCATCCCCCTCCTGATCCTCTCCTGTGGCTGCGCCAAAATTTGGCAGCTTGCTTTTCAGCACTGGGCTACCCCCACCCTTACGGCTGTTGCGGGGGGTGTCTCCTTCCCCCACCTTGATTTTGGGTTGACTTGTGGTTGTGCTGGGCTCTGCCATCACAGCTGGCAGCGGCAAAGCTGGCACAGCCACCTCCAAGCGGGGCAGCCTGAACGCCGGCTCCTTGGCTTGAGGGGCGGCTGGTGGTGCTGCGCCGGCGAGGCTCAGCCCCACGGCGACTTTTGGCACTGCCACCTCCACGGCTGGTAACCGCGGGCCGGTACCTGCCGGCGCTTCGGCGGCCCCGCCAGCGAGCTCCGTATTCACTGGCGGCTCCTCCATCGCCTGCGTTTTGGTGGCGGCCGCTTCCTTCACTGTCAAGCGGGACGGCGTCGCGCGTGGCCGTCGGGGCTCCGCCGCTGGCAGCACCGCGGTGGCTGCGGCGCTTGGCGCTGCTTTGGCGGCTCTTTGGCCGGGGGCCGCTGGCAGCTCCTTGCAGGGCGTCAGGATCGGGGTGCTCTGGGTGAGGGTGGGGGAGATGGGACCTGGCACCCACCACACTCACGCGTCCACCCATAGGGACCCCCAAGCACCCGGGTTCCCCGGTGCCGCATTCCCAGTGTCCCCCGAGCATCCCCCATCCCTGTCCTGCATCCACAGCCCCCCTGCCCCCCATTCCTGCACCCACAGTCACCTACCAGCCTGGCCACCTTCCGCCGGTGCCCGTCGCCAGTGCCAGTGCTGCCGGGGGGGACGCGGGTGCTGCTCGTCCAACGCCGGAGCCCAAGCGAGACCTTGCAGGACCTGGCACCCTCCAGCACTCGTGCGACGTCCTCAGGGGGGGCCCCCTCAAAGAAAACCCTAGCGCTGACGAGCCGGTCACCTATAGGGACCATAGGGGCTGTCACCCCTGTC